TTTTTTTGTCCTTTTGAGACAGGGTTTCGCTATGCAGTTCACACTGGCCTTGAGCTCACTATATAGCCCAGGCTGGCCTCAAACTCCAAGTGATCCCTCTGCCTCAGCCTCCCAAGCGCTAGGATTACAGGCGTGTACCACCACGACCGGCGAGGTGGACGTTTTGCGTTTTGTATCCTGTTGAAGACCCCTGGTAGGTGAAACTGTGCATGGCTTTCCTTCCCAGCCTCCACTTAGAGACCCTGCACTACTGAGTGAATCTTTCTTTCATTTGTCCCTCCCTCCCTCCCTCCCTTCCCCACCTCCCTCCCTTCCCCACCTCCCTCCTCCTTCCCTCTCTCCCTTCTATCCCCTATGCCTTCCTTCTCGCCCCTCCCTTATATTTTCTTTCCTCCTTCCTTCCTCCCACCTTCCTCTCTCTCTGCAGCACTAGGGCTTGATCCAGGACTTCACACTGACATCCCTATCCTTTTTTTAAGTGTTTTGAGACAGGATCTCACCAAGTTGCCCTGGCGGGAGCTGAACTTGTAGCTCTCTTGCCTTAGTCTCCCAAAGTGCGGGGACTGCAAATCCGTTTTCACAGAGCCCAGTGGAGAGGGTGTGGAGCTTACATGGGGCCCTTTGGTCTTCCTTTCTACAAATTTAGAATCAGCCACCAGCTCTTTGCTTCTTTTCTTCTCTGCCGCCCTCTACCCACCAGCCGGAGAGCTCTCACGATCTGTGTGGAAGGCACATTTCCTGCAAATTCTAGCCCATGGAAAGCAGAGGGCTGCTTTTCAAGTGCCCCTGTTACCTCAGCAAGTATTTCCCAAGCACTTCACATGCACTGTCCCAGGCCCTCACGGAACTGAAGTCTAACAGAAGCTGCCTCGGGAGAGACCCAGAGTTTCACTCGGGCATTTGTTCTAACAGTGCCCAGCCACTGTGACGGCCAGGACAGGGTCAAAGGGGATGCCAGCCGAATGTGGTGGCGCACGCCTGCCATCCCAGCACTTGGGAGATGAGGCAGGAGGATCACTGTGAGTTCTGGGCTTCCTAGTGAGTTCAAGGCCAGCCTGAACTACAAAGGGAAAGGAGGGGACATAGTGACACATGCAGATCTCTCACTAACAGAGACCACTGCGATGGGTGCGTGGGAAGGAAATAAACACTGGGATATGGAGACGTGAGTAGAGACAAGAGACTTACTCAGGTGCAACAAACAGTCTGAAGGAAAGGTAATTTCTCTGGCTACAACACAGGTAATGTCTAATGTCTTAAGAGACCATATCATAGAATGTGGATTTGTCAGGGGCCAGGAAGATAGTTCAGTGGCCCAAGTGCCTGCCTGAATTCAGTTCCTGGTACAGAATGTGGATTTGTCCCCAAGCACTATCCAAGCAACTCAGTCTAAGTGGAGCTCAACCACTACTTTAATTTCTTAACTCGAGGAATTTCCAAGACAGCACTAAAAAAGAAAAGTTTAAAGAACTCATGCAGAGAGGCGGAGTGTCATACAGGGCTTATTTTTAGGTCTGGTCAGCTACCTTGAGATGGAAGCTGTTATGTGTAACACCTCAAGCCGGCAGGTTCTGGGCTGCTGGCTTCAGGGCAGACTTCCTTCTGCGGGTCTGTCTCCCATGAGGTAGGGGACCCCTCCGTGCAGGATCCCTGCAGATGGTTTCCCTGCCTTTAAGAGACACAGCAGTCTTTCTTTGCAGCTGGAGCTCAGTAAGCTGGTGCCTGCATTCTGGGCCCAAAGCATCACAGGGCTGCCCGATCCACGTGCAAGCCATGCCTGCTGGTTGCTCCCAAAAAAACATGTTTGGCCCCCAGCAGAGCAGTTCACCACCTTCTTTCTTCCTGCAGGATGCAGTTCATGAAAGCAGAGTCTGATGCAGCGTTATTTTTTCCTACTGGTTTAGAAATGGGAAAGGAAGGAGGCAGCATTTCCCTGGTGTTCCAGAAAACACAGCTTTTGGGGAACAAGGCCGATACTGTCCAGAACTGGGGATCAGCCATGTGTGGGGGATGAAGGCAAGGGGGATGGGAGGCAGATACAGAGGCTGGGCTAGCTGTGGGGTGTGATTTGTCAGGGCCATGAAGTTACGTGTGTCCCAGCACAATCCCAAATGAGCATTGCTGGGGCTGGGGATTTAGCTCAGTGGCACAAGTGCCTGCCCGGCAAGTGCAAGGTCCTGAGTTCGATTTCTGGTACCCGGCCCCAAAATGAGCATTGCTTTCTGCTGTCAAAGGAGCTGTTGTCTAGCTCTACTCCAATTTATTATAAAAGACGTTTAAAAGCCATTTTCTTCACCTAAAAGCACTCACTTTTAGCTTCTCAATTATTTCCGAGGTATAAAGAGTGATCTTATAAACAAATCCTCATATGAAAGATTAAATTGCCCTGACCCTTAGTGATAGAGCCCATCTGGGCTGGCGGCTCTTCCAGCCAGAATGACTTTGGAATATTCACTTTGGCTTGCGGGTAGGGAGGGATTTTTTGGCGGGGTGGTGGTGCTAAGGATTGGTTGTACCCAGGACCTCTGCACTGAGCCCTTTTTAGCTTTTGAGATAGGATCTCACTAAGTTGCCCAGGTTGGACTCAACCTTGTGACTCCCCTGCCTCGACTTCGCAGAGTGCTGGGATTGCAGGTGTACACGGTGCCTGGCAGCATTTAGGACTGAGTTGACAAACACCGTTCTTCCAAGGTCACTGCTGTCCTTGGTGGTGACCTGCTCTATGCCATCCTTCTGCACTGGGCCTCTTCCTAATACTTCTGGAAGCGCCACCCGCTGTGGAATCCACAACCTTCCCATCCATGCCTCCCCAGGTCAGCGCACTTCAGTCAGTGTGGAAATAGAATTACGACGACTGTGCAGGGATCGAACAAGATGTGGAGAGCTGACGCCTAACCATCCTGCAGACCTGCACACAGCTGCTGGCATACCCAGTGACTTTGGCCATGGCACTGGGGCCCAAGAAGCACAGCTGTGTGTTGTGCAAACCCCCCTCACTCTAGGTGAGTGGACACGGCCCCATTCGGGGCGCTTCCAGAAGCCCTCCTGTCAACACCTGGTTATGTCTGAAGATGTCTGCCCCAACCTACAGCCAGGGGCAGCAGCTGGTCCTGCCAGGGATCCCCAGTGGTACCTGGGGAAAGGTTTAGTGGCCTCACCCTCAAGTCACTAAGGAAGAGCTCCCAGGAGCACAAGGATCAGCTGTCATTTTCCTCTGCACAGCTGTGGGGCCTGGACTGCTTCCTCCTCCAGGCCCAGCCTGACCCAGGGAAAGCCTGTGTGCTGAGAATGCACCCTTCCTCAAAAGACAGCTTCGGTGATCAGCAGTACCGTATTCCTGAACAGCAGCACTTACAGCTAAGATGAGCGAGAAACCTAGTTCTTGTGCGAATGTGAGACAAGACTATGCCCACTGCTAGACTAAATCCGTCTGCATGGCTGCTGTGTGCCGAGGAGCAGACTTCCAGGGAGAACGCCTGCCAGCTGGCATGGTCAAGACCAGGTCCAAACAGCAGGCTTAATTAGAGTGAGTCTCAGGCGGGGGAGCCGTGACCGGAAAGGGCCTCCCCCGAGAGTTGAGGACACATGGCGGGCAGCGCAGAGAACCCCGCGCCAGCCAGCCAGTGGCCTGTGCTAGCCAGCGCCCAGAATTGGGTGCAGAAGGCCAGGTTGGGGCCAGATTGTGGAAGGCTTTAAATGTCAGGCTGCGGAATTTATCAGGGGAAGTGAAGTGATCAAACAGGTGTTTTAGGAAGATAAATCTGAAGAGAATGCGCAGGATGAATTGGAAAATCTGGAAGCATGGCAACAAGTAGGAGGCTGTGCGATTAATTAGGCTGTTGCAGAAGTCCTGTGTGGGTGGGTAAGGTGTAAACGAGCAGAGTGGTGGCAGAAATGGAAAAGGGACAGCTGTGCGAGACACTGTTAAGAAAGAATGGCTGAGGTTTGCTGTCTGATTGGACTGGGGACCCAGGGAGCGCGAGCAATCGGCGACGCCAGAGCTCTGATCACGGGCAACTGGGAGGACAATGATCAGCGGAAGGGCTGTTAAAAGCAGGAGCCGGGCTGGGCAGATGTAGCCTCAGTTCCAGGAGTAGTCGCTGGCCTGGCAATGAGCATGGGGCTCGGAATGTGGTGCTGGCTGCTGAGCACAGCAGAGAGGGAAAAGGCAGTCACGGGTGAGTGCGGCCAGGAAGGGACGGTGCCTACGGGGAAGAGCTGACCACACTGGCCCTTGGAGGGACGTCCCCGGGCGCAGGGCTCCCCTATGTAGCCAGTTACACAGCCACACGTCCTCACCATTAACATACTATGCTTAGACTGAGAAGTCCAGGTATCACAGCACTTTATGTGTCAATAGGAACTAAATTATACATGCTTTAAGTATGCGCTAAAACAAATTTTGTTTAAGGCTCATATTGACAGAGGAAGAAAATGATAAAATGACACAGAGAACACACCCCAGCTGTGTGGATCCAAGGAGTCAAGCAATGAAAACTTATGACATAACCTAGAGATGACATCTGGCCAGTGATGTTAGTTGGTACTGATTTACTCTAACAAAAAAGTTAAAAAAATTTCCTTTATTTGGGCTGAGAGTACTGGTCAGTGGTAAAGTGTGTGTTCGCCATGCATAAAACCACGGGTTCAGTCCCCAACAGAAGAAAAAAAGTAACTGCTGTATCTGGAGTGTACTATCTTTTCTAATTCACCAAAGGTTTTTTTTTCTTTTAAAATTACATAAAGGCTATAAATCGGGCATGGTGGCGCATGCCTGTTAATTGCAGCAGTCTAAGAGGTGGAGGCAGAAGGATGGCAATTTCGAGCCCAGTCTGGCCAACTTAGTGACACAGCAAGACTCCTGCTTCTCCCCCCCCCCCACAGGGCGGAGCTTGGGGGGCTGGGAAGGAGCTATATTTAGGTACACAATAGCTCAAATACTCTTGAAGTTGATACCGGAAAGCTACCTAGTAGACAGCAATCCACACTCAGTCAACAGGTACACAAAACATCTTTTTTACTATGTATCCTCATTTTTTTGATGCTCATTTCAGAAATAAAGTAATACAGGGCATGGGGAGTGGCTCAGTGGTACAGTGCTTATTTAACATATGGGAACTCTGGGTTGGATCCCCAGCACTGGAAAAAAAATCTGAGTATTTGGACTAAAAGCTACCTTAAGCCCTATAAAGAAAAAGATCTTCGTCTTTATGTAGTCATCAAAATTTTTCTTCTTAACACTTTTAAAAAAAGTATATGCAATTGTACAGTTTAACAGCATAGCAATTGTTAGTAGGGCCCTATATTCAGCGTATTTCAGTGATACAGTCTTTTGAAATACCGTAACAAACAGATTTAACACAGCAAAAACAATTAAAAACTCTATTTTTTTGGACATCAACTTTTAAAATACAAGAACTTTTTTGAAAACTTCTTGAAAAATCTACAAACTATACAAAAGGGACGCATGCACACTACTTGAGAAGACACCGGGTTCAGCCATTTCCAGGTCAGTCTGCAACACTTCATCGGGAAACCATGAGCAAGGCGGCTGCCGGCTGTTACTTCTCACAACTTCGTATCTTTTCACTCTGGGGGCGGGGGGGCATTGAAAATATTGTATCTAAATACTTTATATGGACAGGCAACACAGTATTACAGAACAGTGAAACAGAGGTGCTAAAACCAAAGCAGTGGGGAGCGTTCCTGACATCCACATACAAAGAGCTGACTTTTTAAAATACCGATACTGTCAAGCCTCTTTCAATAATCTTTAAAACATATACCTGGATTAATTAATACATTACTTAGAAACTGATTTCATTTCTTTGAATACAGGCTCTAGACTGATCTGCAGAACACTGGGGTATTATAGAGATAAAATCAGCCCATTTCCTTTAAGTACTTGTACTATTAAATAACATAACTAAACACCATTTTTGAGAAGTCAGATGGATAATGCTTATTTGGGGATTACAGTGAAAAAGAGCTGCTCCATTTATTTCACTAAGAGGAACTACAACCTTTGCATTTTTAAAAAAAGTCCAGAGTGCTGTGATTTTGTATCAACTGGAATTTCCAAAAGGTAATATTTTTTGGAGTGGAACGTACAGGTATACTAGCTAATTTTTTGTTAAATCTCATGCACACATATGTAGCTTATTTCAGAAGAGGCAGTGGCAAAAAGATGCTTAGATTCAACTTTTTCCGCTTCACTGAAAGTCCCAACATTTGGAATTAAATGATTCACTACTTGCCAAAAATCCATAAAATATTCACACCAGATAGACCAAGGTTAACTCTCCTGTAAAGAGAAAAAAGTTTTAGTAAAACTGCTTGCCAGCTGTTTAAGGTCTTTTTCTAATAATGAAAACAAGAATCTTTATAAGGAATGTATGTTTAATTGATGACATTTAATGCTACTCTGTAATAAATTATGTTATATATGGTTTATCAGGAGAATTGTAGTAATAGCAATTACTTTCTTAACTGCTTAAAATTCAGGTTTAGAATAAACAGATTTATGGAATGCTGAACATTAACTTTAAGAACTATCATACATGATAATAGAACTACTGGAATAACTTACTAAGATTAGAATATCATTTAAATTTTAAAAATGGCCCTGGCGGGGGCAGGGGACATATACTTGTAGGAGGCTGAGGCAGAAGAATCACCGTGAGTTTGAGGCCAGCCTTGGCTACACAGTGAGCTCAAGGCCTGTCTGAACTACACAGCAAGACCCTGTCTCACAAACCTGCACCCCCCTCAAGAAAAATTATCAGAACAGAGGATAAAGAGATATGAGGCTTCCTAGAAAACTGACCTGTCGTTGACTTGAATTAGGAATTCACTATTAGGTGCTTTAGTGAGTCTGCATATGCGTATAAAGAGATCTTAAACCAAATTGTATGCAACAAAAAGATCACTCTACTGGGCAGGAAAGAAATGGAACTGAGTTTGAGAGAAAGACGGCGACAAGACTTAAACTCATCATCTCACAAAACAGGAAATCAATATGTGTCTAAACCTGAGGGTCCACAGAGATCTGCATACCCTGACTACTGGAATTACGGGGATTATAACAGGAGAAACAGCTACAATGTTTTAAGCAGCTGCCTCTGGGAAGCGAAGTAGGTGTGGGGCTATAGGGAACTACTCCTGCTGTGAACTTTTTGTCCTATATGACTTTTACAGTTATGACATTATCAGTTTTTAATAAAAATTAAAAACACAGCTGTTATCAAAAATGCCTTCAAAAATGGTAATTTCATCACGGTGTTTTCCCATTTCTTCACACCCTCACCAACGATGCAGTGATTAATCTTAATTTGATAGGAAAAAGGTTTTTAACTCTGGCTTGTCTAAACAAGAGGCGAAGGATCTCTCTGTGATTATTAACACAAGACTTTCCTGTCAATTGTATCTTCATTCATTTAAAAAGCATTTTCTTTTCTAGATGGGTGCGGTAGTGCACACTTGTAATCACAGCATTTGAGAAGCTGAGATAGGAGGAGCACTGTGAGTTTGAGGCCAGCCTGGGCTACACAGCAAGATACTGTCTCAAAAAAAACCAAAAACCAGGGCCAGGGATACAGCTCAGTGGCACAAGTGCCTGCCTGGCAAGTGCAATGTCCTGAGTTCAATTCCCGGTACCAAAAAAACAAACAAAACACCCAAAACCAAAACAAAACCAACCTACCCAAAACCAAATAAAAACAGAAGTCCTTTAAAATTCTGTTAAGAGGGGCTGGGGATTTAGCTCAGCAGCACAGCGCCTGCCCGGCAAGCGCGACGTAGTAAATTCAATTCCCAGTACCAGAAAAAAACCCAAAACAACAACAACAACAAAATACTGTTAAGAATAATCATAAAACAATATATTTATACATTAGTAACATAGCAAATTCTATATTCCATTTAATATATATGTTTACACATATTTGTAACTATTCCTAGAAACTAGAAAAATATGTATTTACTGACATGGAAAAATGCCAAAATCTACTGTAAGATTAAAAATCAGGTCTCAGAGTAGTAAGTTTGGGAATAATACATTTTAAGCAAAAAAAAACCACAGCAGATTTTCTCAGAGCGGCCTGGAGATGCAAACCAGCACTGTTCAGCCTGCAGAGCTCATAGGCGGAGAGCACACAGAATGAGAAGGGTGTCTTCACTTTCTACGTTCTAATCTGTTTTATGGCTTAAATATTTCTGTACCAAACACATATTATCTTTATAATTAAAAATGCACAAAGAACCATGTTTGTTAGTTTAGATGGCTCATGAAAGTGACTTCCCTACTTAATTTTCTTATATGAAAAGTATGTATGATAAAAGTGGGTGGTAAATGTTCATCAATTTCTGTTCATGTCTGTTGTACACCTTTTTTTGGGGGGGTGGGAGAGGGTGAGACACGGTCGTGCAGGCTGACCTTGAACTTTTGGCAATCCTCCTGCTTCAGCCTCCCTGGTGGTAGGATTACAGGCATGTGCCACTATACCTGGCCTGTTTTACAACTTTTGTCTCTTAATATTGTTTTTATTTTAAAGAGAAAAGAACAAAAATAAAATAACAAAAACAAAACAACATGAAAACAATAGAAATGATCCAGATGTATCTAATATACTTAAGGACAGGAGCTTTTTTCCTCTACAACAGTGCTGTCCAATAGAAACACAGCATGATGCAGGCCTCAAATGCAAATCACATACATAATGGTGAATTTTCTGAAGACATTTAAGGAAGAAGAAACAGATGAAAGTAATTCTAAGACTATATTTAACCTGATATATCCAAATAGATTTAGATATATATACAAAATTATTAAGAAAATATTTTACATCTTTTAATATTGTTTCTGTAAAATCTGGTATATATTTCATATTGCAGGGTATCTTATTTCAGACTAGCCATGTCCCAAGTGCTCAATGACTACTGTAGCGGACAACGCAATTCTGGAAAAATACAACCTCTAAATGATGAACAAGATGCCCAGGGTGGTGGCCCATCGCTGTAAACCTGGCACTCAGAAGGCTGAGGATCCCTGTGAATGTGAGGCCAGCCTGAACTACACAGTGAGATCCTGTGTCAAAAAAAAATCTTGTAACTAAGTGGTGATAAGTGGAAATGCCCACAGATGTCCTCTGCTATGAGCCCTCCCCCACATTCTGTCAGCATTAAGTGCTTCGTACGGCGGAGCTGGACCCAGAGCAAAGATATTCAGGCTCATGGATCACGCACTACCAGAGTTCTCTGGCATAAGCAGATTCACCTACATCAGGTAATATTTGATGCTCCAAAATTGTAGATCATCAAAATCACAATACTGAAAGTTTGAACTTGCTATGTGAGTTGTTACTAAGTAGGTAAGTGACTTCAACAAACTATTTTTCCACCTTAGTGAGCAGTATTTTGGGAGGGCTATCCTCTCCAAAACTATATAAACAATTTTCAGAATACACTGAAATGGAATACCTCAAGAAAAAGAGGTTCAAAATTTTGTTTTGAATTTTAATTTTCAGGTGGCAAGAATCTGTTTTTTTGAGACAGGGTCTTCCTATGCAGTTTAGGCTGGCACTGAGTTCACTATGTGGCCCAGGCTGGCCTTGAACTCTTAATGAGCCTCCTGCCTGGTTCTCTCAGAGTTGTTCCTCCAGGAGATGCAACCATGAGGTCAAGGATGTGGTCCAATTACTTTATCAGTAAGGAACTGGAGGCTCTGGAGTTAAAGAAATTGCCCAAAGCAGAAGGGCTCACTCAAATAGCCGGGCGTGGTGGTGCACGCCTATAATACTAGCACTCAGGAGGCTGAGGTACGAGGATGAGGATCGCTGTGAGTTCAAGATCTGCCTGGGCTACAAAGTCAGCTCAAGACCAGCCTGAACAGCATAGCAAGACCCTGCCTCAAAAAGATTTAAAAAAAAAAAGGGCTCACTCAGGACAAGGCTGAGGTAGCACTAGAAGCCGTATCCAGGGTTTAGTCCACAAATCTTTTTGTTATGTGATGGTACATTTCACAGAACCTTAATGTAGGAACAGTAAATAAATTAAGTACTTATGTGTGGTATTTTTTTGAGACAAGGTTTTGCTATAGTCTTGAATTCATTACACAGCCCAAGTGGGCTTGAACTGGAGGTATCCTCCTGCCTTGGCCTTGTGAGTACTGGGACAGGTGTATATCACTATGCTTGTTAGTACACACATTTTTTAAAATTAAAAAAAAAAATTTAAGTACATATTTTTAAAGTATACTTACCCAAGCATTCCTGACTCTTTTGTCTTTATGATGTAAAGGAACATTAATAATGTATGAAACATATTATTTCTACCCTAGAACCAAGACAAAAAAGACAAGACAAACTAAACCAAAATGATTCAACCAGGTAGGTAAACGCAGTTCTAAACAATTCCTGTACCACACCTCAGACTTCTACACAATTCAGAATTCCTTCACTCATTTATTGAACACAGTACCTACCCCTGGGGCTAGGAAGTGAGAACACTAGAGCAAGTAAGAGAGAAAGGATCCATGTATTCAAGGAATTTAACATGAAATAGAAAAGCCAGACAGTAAACTAAGGGGTTCAATAGAGCACAGGGAATCTTGGATAGCTGTGGGATGCCATGGGAGCAAAGGCAGGCATCTTCTCTAGACTGCTAGTGCGGGGGATGCATCACTTCTTTCTTCCTTTCCTTTTTTCTCTTTCCTTCCTACTTAGCTATTATTTGGTTTTTTTGAGACAAGGTCTCACTATATAGTTCAGGCTGAACTTGGACTCACTATGTAGCTCAGACTGGCCTTGAACTTGTACATTATCTTCCTGCCTCAGTCTCCTGAGTGCTGGGTCACAGGTGTGTGCCACCATGCCTGGCTCAAGACTTCAAAGTCAAAACTTGAAACACAAACAGAAAGCTAACATACTGGGGTAAGAATCTAGGAAGACCTAAGGAGAGCTATTTTGAAGTTAGTGGCCCTGCATACTACACACAAAATACTGTACTTCAGCCAGACATGGTGCCACACACCTGTAACTGGAGTCTGAGGCAGGAGGATCATAAGTTTTGGGTCCATCCCGGTCTACTGATTGAGATCCTGTCTCAAAATAAAAAAAATATTAAAAGGGGTAGGGGATGGGGCTGTATCTCAGTGAGAAGCTATGGGTTCAGTCTCTAGTACTGCAAAACAAAACAAAACAAAACAAAACAAAACAAAACAAAACAGAAAGCTCTACCCACAAAACTAACACATCAATATGAGTGTTAGGATAAAACAGCTTTTAGACATACTTTAAAATAAATATATTTTATCTGTAAGGAACTCCTAGGCATCAACTGCTAGCTCTGAAATCAAACTACTATATATAATTGTTAGTCTATAAAAACAGCCAATTAACATTTTTAAATTTTACCAACTAACTTCCAAGAGTTCACTATTTTAAGGTGTGCTGCTATAAACATTATAGAGCTACCTTTTAAAACAGTAAGACCATATAATTTCTTTAAATATGTAAGTAATTTCAACCCATAAAAAAAGAGCAAAATGAAATTTTCTAAAAGGTATAAAATAAATCCAAATGTTCACCAAGGCTACCTCTGAATAAGTGATTTTTCTTCACTTTTTCTTTTTTTTGGCTGTACTGAAGTCAGGGCTTCTGGACTGTGCTACATCCCTAGTCCTTTACTTATTTATTGTTTTAATTTTATCTTTTATTTTAAGACAGCATCTCAATTACTCAGGCGGGACTGGAACTTTCTCAAGTTCCTCCTGCCTCAGCCTCTTCCCCTACTGGAATTACAGACGTGAGTCACGACACCTGGCCTTTTTCTTCTTGCTCTCCCAAACTAAAATATTACTGTTATAGTAAAAAAAAAAAGAATGTAATGAAGCCAGCCATGGTGGCGCATGCCTGTAATCCCAGCACTCAGGAGACTGAGGCAGGAAGATCGTTGCGAGTTCGAGACCAGCCTGAGCTACAAAGTGAGCTCAAGGCCAGCCTGAACTGCATAGCAAGACCCTATCTCAAAAAGAACCCCCCCAAAAAAGAATGTAACAACAACATTTCTCCTAATTGGAAAAGCTTCATATCTTTTCTACAAACAAGAGATTCTAATTTGGAAAACAGCATCAACAAAGCAAGTCACCCATGGCATTCTCTAACAGCAATTTCTATATATAAATATACCTTTGGAAGGTTGTACACATGACGCTGATAGATAAGCTCATAATGTGGGGGGTTGACAGCACTCTGATAAATGCAAAAAACATTCTCATTCGTAACATCTGTAAAGAAGATAGTGTACATTAAAAAATGAAACCACTGGGGAGATTGCATGTGAAAAACTCAACATGTTCTTTCAGAAGTTTATACCTGGCTTATTTGGTGTCTGAACAAAATGCTGAGACGTGAACGTTTTTCCGTCAGGATACTTAGGGTGTGGAGGTAACCTGGAATCGAGGTAGGTGCAAAATACGTGCATGATGATCTGAAGCAGAGGAAACAGTCGTGTGAGGTTAGCGTGAAGATCTAGCAAGGGTGCAGCCCTTGAAACCGCTACAAAGATTCTGATTTTAACTTTTTTTTTTTTTCCTAAAGAGGGAATAATAAAAACCCTTTCAAATGGCTATTTAAGATAACATTTATAGAATGAAAGATAAAATCACCTAACTCAGGGCTGGCAAAGTGGCTCAGTGGCAAGAGCATTTGTCTAGGATGTGCAAAGTCATCCCCAGTGCGTGCGGGAGGCGGGGATCACAACGCAGCAATTAAATTTCCTGGTACATTTTAGTATACATAATGATCACATTCATTACAGGTATTTTGCACCTATATATGATACAACTTGATTCTTTTTTTATCACAATTATTATTTTTTATAAAGTACTCACAAATATATTTTCCTCTCAAATCAAAGGAATTCAGTGTGTTTAACAGGTGAAGTTAGGCCTAGTTCAAATAATTAATTCAAAATTTAAGGGGCTGGGGATTTAGCTCAGCGGCAAAAGCGCCTGCCTGGCAAGCACAAGGTGGCGAGTTCGGTTCCGGTACCGGAGAAAAACCAAAAAAAAAATTTAAATTGAAAAACTTATTTGCCATCCAAATAACCTACTTACCTGCCCATCCATCCATCTATCCATCCAAGCATCCATTCATCTTTTTCTGCTTACTGGGGATTGAACCCATGAATTTACACATGCTAAGCAAGCACTCTATTCCTAGTTACATCCTCAGATCTTTTTATTTTTTTAATTGCCTAGGCTGGCCTCAAACTTGTGCTCCTCCTGCCTCAGCCTTCCAAGCTAACAGGTATGTACCACCACACCTGCTAAATTAGTCTATATTTTGATAGGAAAGTTTACTTTTCTCCATGTAAAAAAAAAATATATATGTAATATGCCAGCCTATAAAGTGACCAATTATCTGTATGTAGGAGAAGGAGATACATGGGGTGGAGGCAGTTTAAACACCAAACTTGTATTCCCTAGATATTTTACCTTCATTTTTTATTTTTTATAGGAACCCTAGAAGAGCAGGTTCCTTGTTTTCTAGTAAGGGGATTATTCATACCACTCATACAGGAAAAACAAGATAAAATAGACATAATTCTCAAACTGAATGTCAACATTTAAAACTTAATTATAGTTACTATACAAGATATTTAAAAAATCCACATTTAAAAATAGCTTTTCTATACACTAATAATGAACTACCAAAGAAAGAAATCAAGAAAATAATTCCATTTGCAATAGTGTGTGTGTGTGTGTGTGTCTGTGTGTGTGTGTGTGTGTATGTGCATACACCTTATCAAGCAGGTCAAAGATGTCTACAATGAAAACTGCAGAACAAGCTGGGCACAGTAGTGTGCACCTGTAATCCCAGCACTTGCTGGATCACTAAATTTGAGGCCAGCTTGGGCTCCATAGTGAGTTCAAGGCCAGCCTGAACTACAAAGTGAGACCCTATCTCAAAATCCATACACACACAAAGAATCAAACAAAAAAAGGAAATTACAGAACACTGAAGAAAATTGGAAGATTTATTAGAAGACAGAAATATCTTCTATGTTCATGCAATACCTTTGCAAAATTAATACCGAAATGGCCATATTATCAAAAGTAACCTATAGATTTGATGCATTATCAATTAAAATTCCAAGACATACTTCACAAAACCAGAAAAAAAAATCTTAATCTTCATATGTAAGCACAAAAGACCTAGAATACCCAAAGTAATCCTAAGCAAAATAAGCAAGGCTGGAGACGATCACAATACCTAATTTCAAACTGTACTACAAAGCCACAATAACAAAAACAGCATGGTATGGGCACAAAAGTAGACATACAGACCAATGGAAAAGAAGAGAAGACAGAGAAACAAATCCATACAACTACAGACATCTGATTCTCAACAAAGGAGAAAAAATATACACTAGAGAAATAATAGCATCTTTAACAACTGTGCTGGGAAAACTAGACATTCACATGTAGAAGACTGAAACTAGATCCCTCTCACCCTATACAAAAATCAATTTAAAACAGATCAAAGATGTAAGTATAAGGTGAAACTCTGAAACTGCTAAAGGAAAACAGCGGAAACACTCCAGGCCATGGGCAAGGGCGAAGACTTCCTTAATAGGTCTCCAATAGCACAGGAAATAATGGTAAGGATGAATAAATGGAACTACAAATTAAAGTTTCTGCTCATCAAGGGAAACAACCAAAAGAGTGAAGAGACAGCTTAGAGCATGGGAGAATATCTTTGTTAGTTATAATTCCAAAGAGGATCAATACCTATAAGAACTCAAAACAAAATACTAAAAAGCAAACAGCCCAATCAATAAATGGGTAAATCAGTTAATAGATACTTCTCCAAAGAAGTACAATCAGCTAAGTATGTGAAAAAATGTTTAGTATCTTTAGCCATCAAGGAAATGCAAACCAAAACTACACTAAGATCTCATTTCATCTCATCCAAGTCATTAAGAATACAAAAAAGAAAAAAAAAAAAAGGTTGGGCATGGTGGTGCAAGCCTGTAATCCACGCACTTGGGAGGCTGAGGCAAGAGGATCAAAAGTTTGAGCCTTACCTGGGCAACTTAGTGACTTTAGATTCTGTCTCAAAAAATAAAAAAAGGATTAGATGAACCTCAGTGCAAAGGCCCTGGGTTCCCACTACTGAAAACACAAACAAATACCAATAAATGCTGGTGTCTTAGTTACTTTTCTCATGGCTGAGACAAAATACCCAACGTCCAAAGTTAAAGGAGGAAAGGTTCGTAGAGGTTTCAGGAAAAGTTCGTAGAGGTTTCAGCTCATAGTTGGCTGGCCCCAAGGTAGGGTGGCATTGCACCGTAGATCAATTTCAGTGCCACACACTCTAGATCCAGCTTTGGGGGCACATCTAGACATAAGCCATACGAGCTGGGGGTGGGGAACAATTCTTTCACACTGCTGCTGGGAATGTACATTAGTGCTGCTCACTATGGAAATCAGTGTGGAGGTTCCGCAAAACACTAAAAGCAAAACTACCGTAAGACACAGCTACAGCACTCCTTGGAATACACCCGAAGGGGTTAAACTCAGCATGGATGCCTCATACCTATATTCACAGTGGCATAATTCACAACAGCCAAGATATGGACCAGCCTAGGTGTCGATCAGATGAATGGATCAAGAAAATGTGTATACAGATGAGAACAAAATTACGTCATCTGCAGGGAAATGGATGGAACTGGACCATGTTTTCCTTAATACGTAAGATCTAAAAAAGATGACATGAAGTAGAAAGGCGACCAAAGGGAAGCAAATACATTTTTTTTGGTATCACAAATTGAACTCAGGGCCTCACACTTGCCAGGCAGGTGCTGCGCTGCTTGAGCTATCTCCCTGGCCAGGAAGGAAATACATAAAGTGGGGGTAAAAGAGAAGTATAAGTGCTAGGCATGATGGCACATGCCTGTAATTCCAGCAATTGGGAGGCTGAGGCAGGAGGACTGCCATGAACTCGAGGCCAGCCTGGGCTATACAGTGAGACCCTATCTCAAAAAACTGAAAGAGGGGTATAAGGAAGGGTGAGAGGGGATGTAAGAAGTTACTAGTTATGCCTTTACAGGATCATCGTGCTGACATGAATTTACTGAGGTGAAATCTGTTAAGTGAAACAGAAGGCTACAAAACAGTGCACACAGTACCACCAACTTTTTATTTTACAAAACGCATGCGTGCACAGAGATATCAAGAAATCCCCTAGAATGGCATTCACTTAACTGTACTACTCTGTCTCTGCGAGGGAGATGCTGAGTATATATTCTTTATTATTGTTTAAGAGGTTTTTTTTGAGTTGTACTGTTATAAAATGTTTCTATGTGGAGGAAATTAAAATTGCTTTAAGTATGTGAGGTGATTAGGTAATTAGCTTGATTGTAGTAATCATTTCACAACACATATGTATGTCAAAATGTGATGTTGTATACCAAGGGTATATATGATTTTATCAGTTATACTCAACAACAAAGTAAAAACACTATAAAAAATAAGGAACACAATTTTGAAAAACTCTTAAATGCACAAAAACTTTTACATTCTTTGATGGCAAATCTGACACTAGAAATCTTTTGTAAAGGGGTAATTCCAAATAAGAAAGAAATACACATTGTGATATTCCTTGCCATATTATTCAGAAGAGAGAAACAAAAATCCCTTTTCTACTGCAAGTTTCCAATCTTTAAGTCTAATAGAGGAGAACAGTTATGTGACAGTATGTAATTAAAAAAAACAGCAAGGTATCACCGAACTGAAAACAAGGGGCCGAATAACATAATTTTATAGATAGGACTGCAATGATGATAAAAGCATTAAAAAGTAGTTCCGTCTATGCAAAGGGAAAAAACCACAAATATTAACAGCGGTTGGGCTAAGATGCTGCTGTTGTACTACCATAACTCATTATTTGTATCTTGTTTTGAAATTATTTTTCACACTTTTATAGTGGAAAAATTAAAACACATAACTCGAATAGCAACAATATTAACCTGAAAAAAGAAACATACATGGAGGGACTCACCGCAGAGTCAGTGGGCAGGTCAGTGTCCCACTTCCGTCCTTTGAAGTCTCCGCCCCTGTTCCATCGAAATGAGCTCATGCAGCCTCCCTGAGAAAGTTCTGTGCAACAAAAGTAAAATTTTAAAAAGCTAAAGATCTGTAAAAGAAGAAAAGGACAAGGAATACCAGTAAAGGAAAGTACATCGCTATAAAGAAAGAGTCAGATAAACCCGAAATGTGGACTAAGCTATCATCATGGATTTCAGAAAGTCTCTGGACTGGGAAACCTGAGTAGGGATCATCCGTTCAATACTACTACACAACTCCTAAGTTTTAAGGGATGATGACTGCATTACAGTAAGATAAAAGCATGTTCTTCACTTTCAGACAAAATGTACACTGCAAAGTAATGATGTTTCCAAAGTACTTTCAAACAGAGGCACGGGACATACAGGGACAGAATCAAATGTGGTGTAACATTTTTTTTTTTTTAACATTTCTAACTATTCAATCTAGGTGATATGGTATTCACTGTGTTCTTTTAATACTTTTTTTTTTTTTGGTCTTTTTGAGGCAGGAGTCTCACTCTGCAGTTCAGGCTGGCCTTGAGCTCCCTTGTAGCTCAGGCTGGTCTTGAACTTGCGACAATCCTCCTGCCTCAGCCTCCCAAGTGCCAGGATTACAGGCGTGCACCACCACACCCGGCATCATTAATATTTTCTTATATATCTGATATATGATAATTCCTATATTTAAAAAATTGTGTGTGTATAAACACTTTTTTTGGATGAATAAAGCCTTGCTGTCTATCAGGCAATCCTGCCAAAATATCTGAACCTAAACTTACAGGAAATACACAAGTCAGAACCGTGTGAAATACTAGACAGTGGATATATTCAGCACAACCCAGATAATGGGAAACTACAGGACAAACAATGCAATTTCTCTGACAAGTACACTGCAAAGGTAGTGGTGGAGTGTCTAGGAAACCCATCCTTAAACTTAAATACATCACCTTATTTAAATCCCAATTTAAACAATACCAAAAGCAGCAGTAATATTTTATGAGAACACTGGATATTTCATGAAACAAAGCATTTAAAATATTAGGTCTAAGTGCAGCATGGTGGTGTATACCTGTAATCCTAGCTACTTGAAGAGGCTGAGGCAGGAGGCCCATAAGTTTCAAAATCAGCTTGGGCAATTTGGCAAGACCCTGACTCTAAATAACTAAATAACTAACTAACTAACTAACTAACTAAATAAATAAATAAATAAATGGGTTGGTGATGTATGTAGCTTAGCATTCACTGGATTCAATACCCAGTACTTAGGGTGCAGGTGGGGGAACAAGTGAAGCTATATGGTAGTTTTTTATTTGTTTGTTTTGAGTCAGGATCTCACTAGGTAATACAGACTGGCCTTGAACTCGCTTATGTAGCCCAGGGTGGCCTTGAACTCATGGATATCCTCCTGCCTCAGCCTCTGAGAGTGCTGGGATTAAAGCAATGTGCCACTATGTATGGCCCATAGTTATACCTTGGAAGTTTTCAAAAAAGGTTTTTGTTTCTTTTTCTCATTAGCTTTCATTTATAAAATCCAAATGTCATGAAAAAGCTCTCACATTTTCCCCTTCAAATCAAGTTACCTTTGATCCTTTCAAACAAGTACTCCTGATTTGGTGTGAGGTCTAGATACTGCACAATTGCATTCAGAGTCGGAATGAGAGGGGCTTTGACCAGGGCGGCCTGTTTCAAGCTGGTAATACTAGCCTCTGTTCAAAACGAAACAGAACACAGATTACTCCACAGAAGGGTCTCGGAAAGAGTTTAACATGCTTGTGTTCAAACAGCTGGCTCCTCCCTGCCTCCAGTCCTTACATGAGCCAGTGATCTTCCCTGACACACTGATTTCAACCCTCCTCCAGAAACACTAGTAACACCCGCTTCTGTGTTGCTCTTCCTCCTCAGCACTAACCCTTATTTTCTGTCTCATCTACCACAAGGAAACCAGAAATGGGGGCAGGGGTGGGGGCAGTTTTCCTCACTGCTGTATCCCCGATGCTTAGAAAAGTACTGAGTACACAGTACTCAGTAGATGTTGAATAAAGGAAAACAGTAACAGTTTATCTTAATTTGCATTGTCTACTGTACGTACAAGTTATCATTTGGGGTAAGCTGGCTGGATTTATAAACACACACTTGCACTCACTTCTAAAGAAGCAGACAAGCCCATTTTGGCAAATCTATAAACAACTAATATACAGAAGAGATTACATGTATAAAAAGATACACTATAGCTTTCAAAATACTACACTGAATTAGAAGATTCCCATTATGCCAAACACTTATAGTAGTGTTTTCTTTTAAATCTTGAAACAGTACTATGCAAGGAAATTAAAAAGCAAGAAATAAAAAACAAAATATTTGAAAATGTTTAACCTTATTGTAACACCCAATCCCGGGCAAAGGCATTCTTGTATATGCCACATAAAGCTAGAATATAAGCTGTCTGTAGGGAACTTACACTAGACAGGGGCTGGGGATTTAGCTCAGCAGCACAGCGCCTGCCTGGCAAACGCAAGGTCGTGAGTTCGATTCCTGGTACCGAAAAAAAACCCAAAACCAAAACCAAAACCAAAAATAAAACCTTAAGACACTCATGCCTGTTGAACTAGCAGCTGTACCTCTAAGAAATTATCCTAAGGAAATGTACAATGCACACAGAGACTTAGGTGAAAAGATACACACTACAGCACTATTAGTAATAGTACAAAGCCCCTAAATTTTAGCTAACAGAGATCTGCTACTTACAATGTAAGATAAACAGTACAAAATAGAGCTACAGTCTAACCATAAACATGGTGCTGGAGAATATTAGCAAAATGGAAAAAGAGAGTACACATGTGAGTGTGTGTGTGGGGGGGGGAGATGAAGGAGACAAAACAATATTTCAATCTAATTAAAAATATATACATGTTTTATGCCTCTACATCTCTTTTTCTCCAAACATAACTGGTGTGATTAAAATTGACAGTGCTTATCTCTCGAAGCAGTGATGTTCTTTATTTTGTAATTTTGGGCAGTACCAGGGGTTGAGTTCAGGGCCTTCATACTGAGATATATCCTCAGCCCTTTTTATTTTGAGATAGGCAGCTGCCCAGGCTGGGCCTGAACTTGGAGTCTTCCTGCCTCAGCCTCCCAGAGTGCTGGGATCTACCACCATCTGTGGCTGAGCAACATTCTTTGTGCATTTCTGTTCTTCCCAAATTTTCTACAATGAACACATACTACTTTTATAGCAATAAAGCAATGTTATTCATTAGAAAGCACCACACAGTAGTAAAATGTTGTGATGTATATTTTTAGAGCTCAGAAGGAAAGCTCCAAAAGGGCAAGCAGAGTTTCAAGTAACATTACCAAGACCAAGAAAATGCCCACTCTGGCTCTGTGTGCTGGGCAATAGCAGCCTCAGCCAGAAAATGGGGCAGTCACAGCAAGCTTTCAAGCTTCATGTGTGCATCTGTGGTATTATGAGAAAACACCTGGATAGTCAATAAACATACTCTATGAATAGGCATGTCTATTCTTTATTTTTATGTCTTTTTGAGACAGGGTCTCACTACACAGTTCAGGCTGACCTTGAGCTCACTCTGTAGCCCAGGCTGGCCTCAAACTTGCAAGGATCCTCCTGCCTCAGCCTCCTCAGTGCTGGGATTACAGGCGTGCGCCACCATGCCCGGCTAGCACGTCTGTTCTTAATCCAAAGAATAAAGATTTATTAAAAGATATCTAAAGTATTTGGAAAAGTGCTAATTTATAATCCAAAGCACTTGTATTTCAAAGAAAAATGTATTCTCTAGAAGGAGCTAGTGACTAAAATATTCCTTATGTTTTTAAAAATCTAATTACTTAACAGTAAACTAATACAGATGTTTTAGGCAAATTGTATTATATAGTATCTGAGTTTTATTTTTAGCAGATATGAATTAAAAATAGGTGATTTTAAATTACTATTTTACACATGCTTGGTTTTTTTTTGAGGCAGGGTCATGCTATGTGCTTCAGGCTGGTCTAGAACTCACTATGTAGCTCAGAGTAGTCATGAACTGACCAGTGATACTCCTGCCTCAGCCTCCCAAATGCTGGGAGTACAGGTGTGTGCCACCACACCCGGCTTCGCACATACTTTATACAATGCAATTAATAGCTGAAAAAGGTCTTGTGTCTAAAAGAATGCATACAACTGAAAAATTAGAAGATAACACAATTTAAAAATGAGTAAAGGATCTGGAAATGATAATAAACACATGCAAATGTTCAGTGTCACTAACAGGTAGGTAAATGCAGACTAAAACTACAGTGGGACGCTATTCACGCCAACTGAGATGACTGCACAAGATGCACAGTCATCCATGCTGGGGAGCTGTGGAGAACCTAGGACCCTCACGTCCTGCCCGTGGGATATAAAGTGCTACTGCGGCTTTAGAGCAGCCTGGCTGTGCCTCAAGAGGTTACAGAGTCACCACACAACCGGGCAATTCCACCCCTAGTCATACAGCCAAGAGAGACTGAGATGTTAGTCTGCATACACACTTGCATGTGATTGTTCACGCCAGCTTTATGCATCGTAGCCAAAACATGCAAATAAGCCATATGGTAGTTAACCCACGAATGGGTATCAAACTGTGAAAGAAGCATTTTGAAAATTTGGCCATAAAAAGAAATGAGTAGCTGGGCATGGTGGTGCCTGCCCACAATCCCAACAGGCAGGAGGTTGAGGCAGGAGAACTGCTGTGAGTTGGAGGCCAGCCTAGGCTACACAGCAATACCCTTTTTCTAAAAAAACAAAACAAAAAAAGAAATGAAATACTGCTAAATGCTACCACATAGATGAACCTCAAAAATATTATGTTGGGGCTGGGGATATAGCTCAGTGGCATAAGTGCCTGCCTGGCAAGCGCAAGGTCATAAGTTCGATCCCCGGTACCGGAAAAAAAAAAAATTATGTTAAGTAAAAGAAGCCAGTTATGAAGGACTGCCTGTTGAATACCACTTATACAAAATACCTGAAACAGGCTCATGTACAGAAACAGCAAATACACTGGTATATGCACAGGGCTGCAGGGAAAGTACAGGAGGGTGTGGGCATGCTACAGGGCGTGGAGCTCTTCGGAGTGATAAAGCGCTCTCAAATTATGATGGCTGCACAACCCAAATCTTTGAACTGCGTACTTTGTAGGAGCATATGAAATAGTAAATTATATCTCAATAAAGCTGTTACATTGAAAGAACTGTATTATAAACATTTAGACCCCCTCCACATCTGAAGATAACAAAAGAAGTTAAATAGACGGTTACAAAAAGATATGACATTTGGCTGATTTTATAAAAGTAAACCAAACACCAGGCTCCAGCTCACATACCTCCTATCTGCAGCTCTGGACAACCCATTCGTCTCATCTGGGTGCTGACAGACTCAGTCTCCTGTACAAGCGGCACTAATATTGTCTCATTGATCCACTAGGAAGAAAAGAGGTATAGATTTTGTATACACAATTCCAAAGTATTTCTCAAATTACTATTTCCATTTCTAGAAGCGACTCTAACAATGTTTTTGTCTTGTATCTGAATATTAACAAGCTGTCAAGCAGAGTGAAGAGAATGGAAGGAGCAGCTATCTGAAGGCTCCAGTGAAGGAAAAGTGCTACTGGAGTGATAGTTCAACTTGGTTTTGTTTTGGGTACTGGGGGTTGAACCCAGGGCCTCCACACTGAGGTACATCCCCTGGCCCACTCCCTTTTTGTCACACAGGCTCTAAGTCACTAAGGTGCCTTAGCAAGGGTCTACCTTGTGATCCTCCTGCCTCTGCCTCCCAGAGTGCTGGGATTACAGGTATGTGCCACCTCACCTGACTGGAGGCATTAAATAAATTATATTCTCAACTCATACGTGTCCTTTCTTCTAAAGAAAATAACTTTCTGTATGTTAAATTAAAAAAATTTCCTTCAGTGATTATTCTTTTTAGCAAAAAGAATAAGCTTTGCAGAGCTGGGCGTGCTGGCGCATGCCTGTAATCCCAGCACTCGGGAGGCTGAGACAGGAGGACTGTTGTGAGTTTGTGGTCAGGCTGGACCACAAAGTGAGTTCAAGACCAGCCTGAACTGCATAGTGAGTCCCTGCCTCAAAAAGACAAAGAAAAAAAAAAGAGAGAGAATAAGCTCCAGGGCTGGGGATATAGCTCAGTGGTGCAGCACCTAACTGGCATGCACGAGGTCCTGAGCTCGATTCCTGGTACCAAGAAAAAAAAAGGATAAGCTTCAGTTTACAATTCTGGAGTGCTATCATTACACACTGGTGTAGAGTTTATACTGGTTTATAATCAATACGACAGGTTTTCAACCTAACACAACTGATTAACTCACAATAGGCTCCCCAGTTGCCTAAACATGTGGAAAAGAAGATAATGGAACCAGTCTGTGAATATTACAATGCAGTATTACTTTAAGACTGGGAGTCAGGCGTAGTGGCACATGATGTTAATACAAGCAGTCTAGGAGGCTGAGGCAGGAGGATCACAAGTTGAAGCCCAGCCAGCATATTTTAGCAAGATCCTGTCGTAAAATAAACAACAATAACAACAACAAAAAAGGGCTGGAGATGTTACTCAAAGCAAAGACCCTGGGTTCAAGTGCCAGTACTAGGGGGAGAAGGGCAGGCAGCAGACTAGAAATTTCAAATGCCATGTTCAGTATCAGACTACAGTATCAGACTAACCTTGGATGTGAAAAAGGCCACCCAAATAAAGTCTGTTCAGTATGTTTATATATTACTGTTTTATGTGTTTATGTAGCAACTTCAACCAACGCTTTTATTTTCATGCTGCTGTTTAATCATAAAAATGAAATAATGAAAAAATGTTTCCGATGAAGCCCACAATTCCTTATAAACAAGTTTCCATGCAAAACCTCTGAAAATTGCAAGTTTCTTTGTAATGCACATACCAAGCAGAATTCAATATAGTGAAAGACTCAAACCAAATTCACATGAAGCTGTTTATAGATTTTACCCCATTTAACTATCCAGATACCCTGATGCCGAAATATTAATGTGGTTGATTACTGGGTGTTGGGAAACGTATGATCTATGCACGCTGCTTTTAAAAAATCCAAATGCTCAACTTCAGAACATAACAGCCTAAGAAATTCAGATGAGAAACTGTGTTTAAGTAGCTAATATTCTTGACAAAACTTTGTATTTTTTAATATACTACCATTTTTAGACCAGTATATAACAGAGAATACAGCAGCAAGTAGAGTTCCAGGTCATCAGCTCACCATTCTTCTAACATCCATCACGTGCAACCTGCTTGCTAGCTACAGTGTGGTGGCCACACAATCATCTGAGCTGTTCGGGAAACAGATGCAGGCCTCACTCCCTGAAATCCTAACTGAGTAGTTCTGCAGTACTAGGGACTGAACACGGGCCTGCACATGTCAGGCAAGTGCTCTACCATGGCAGCTGTACTCCTACCCTAAGTAGCCCAGGCTGGCCTCACACTTTTGATCCTCCTCCCTCAGCCTCCTGAGCAGGTGGATTTTCAGCCATGTGCCAATGTGCCTGGCCTATTATAATTTTTCTCTATTTCGGTTTACTTTTTGGTCTATTATAATTTTAAGCAACAGTGGTAGTTTTTTTTAACCTTTTATTGATTTATATTTTTTGAGGGGGAGGTGATCTTGAACTCCTCGGCTCAAGGAATCCTCCTGCTTCAGCTTCTGGAGTAGCTAGAGCCACAAGTGAAAATTTCATTGTTAAAATGCTATCCAGGTTTCTACCACTTTTTAACCCTCCCTCACGATACCTTATTTAAATTAGCATAAGTGATTTCAATAGCGTTCTCGAACACTCGGAATGGATGATGAGTGCCAACGGGCGAAGAAGTGGCAGCCTCTACACAAGGTAAGTGGAGCTAATCAGCCCACAGAGCCGCGCACACAGGTGCTACAGATAGGAGAGGATGCTGGGAACACACCTCAGAAAGTGGAAGAGCTGACTTCCGGGTCAAACAGAGGGTTCTTTGCTACAGAAACTGAGAATATATATATACTTCACTAGCTTCGAGTGTCTACACTACCATCACTTTTCTGTTTAGTTTTCAGAGGGGACAGATCATCCTTTTGTTTCCCTCACAAAACAATGAAAAAAATATATATACATATACACACATACAAAAGGTAGTTAAAATAGTTATACTACTAATTTCTCTCACTCAGTTCATTGAAAAGATAGGTTTGTGCTAATATTGTTTGGACAATTAAATGCTGATATCTTGTGCTCTGAGCAACTAATTTAAAGATAACAATATGCAATGTATTAACGGTTGTTACCCTCCTATCATACTGTTTTAGAATTTTGTTTTTGTGTTTTTCTTCTTTTTTTCTTTAAAATAAAAATTTTTTTTAGCCAGGCATGGTTGCGCACGCCTGTAATCCCAGCACTTGGGAGGCTGAGGCAGGAGGATCGTTGCAAGTTTGAGACCAGCCTGGGCTACAAATTGAGCTCAAGGCCAGCCTGAACTGCATAGCAAGACCCTGTCTTGAAAAGACAAAAATAAAATAAAATAAAGTAAAATTAAATTTTAAAAAACAGACAATGACAAAAAAGGTTTTTGGAAAGAAAAATGAAAAACTGGGAAGGGGAAGACCTTAATAACTTCAAACATTGTTAAAAGATGGTCACTAAGGGAGGCTCTCAGGCTGCTGTTGGGCTTACTCTGTCTCTTTGGAAAGGTACTAAGCCAAAAGACCATGTGCCACCATGCGGCTGTGCAGCTCAGCTTCAGGAACATGTGTAAGCAGGAGCCCCACTGTAGAAATGGGTGGAGGTTGCTGCCAAGGAGACCCCTCAGGAGGCATGCAAAGCACAGCCTTGTGTTAGGCCTCAAAGAGAACGGGAGCGGGGACTGAGGACTTATGCCAGGCTCCAAGGAGAAAGCGGCCTTGCAGTGGGTCAGCCATGTCTCCCGGCAGCTGGGGCTTGAGAAGCACGCGGTCCCAGCATGACTCCGAAACCAGCGCCAGGGTGGCAAATGAGCGAGCAGCGACTATTCCCAGTGAGAGGGTTCTGAGGCCGTGCGCCTGTGTGGGGTCGCCCTCTCAGGGAGCCCTTATGCTTTCCTCTGGTCCTCCTTTCACTGCTGCAGTCCTTAGTGCCTTTCCATGAGGGACAGACTCTTCCTGTCCCCTTGTACTCCTGAGCTCCCAGGCACTCCCACGGAGGCGCTGCCGTCCCCAGGGAGGAGGGCCGGGAGAACCTGCGGTCTGCAGGAGGACTTGGGCGAGTATTTCCTTTGGCCACTAAGAAAGCAGCACAAAAGGAGGGGGCAGGGAGTTTCAGGGGACCAGACAGAGGGAGGGTGACTTTAGTTACATTCTTGATTTTAATCCCCACATCACTAACAATTTGTTCTTAGAGGAGCCAGGGATAGACAGACAGACAGACAGACACATGAACTTACATTTCTGAACTTAGCTGTCCATGAATCCATATGATCAAGAAGTTGTCTATTCATGGTCACTCTTGCCCAAACCTATTACAAAGGTTTAATAATCAATGAAGAAAGATCTTGCCAGAAATCATCATTCATGCACCCTCAAAAGTATTTGATGAACTTGGAAAATAATCTTGAGAAATATCAATATTCATTTAATTAATATTTAGTAATTTCTTCATTATCCACTTCATGCACAAATACAAAATTCCTTATTGGTATGTTTAAAGAATGTTTTTCTTGTTTTTAAGTGTAAAACAAAAATCTCACATTTGGTATTAAAATAATAAAGTTATAGACTATCAAATGTTCTAATCCAATCATTTAAAAACCAAGAGCCTGGTATATGCCACGTACAATTAGATATCTAAGAGCCTTTCTGTAATGAATGCAGAAAAGTATTTTCGGCCGGACATGAATGTCGCCTACGTGGCACAGAGAGTAAGTGTACAATGTAGCCGAGCGCTGAAAACAGGAGACAGGAGGCTTCCACATTGGGTGAGCGCCAGGTTTAGATTTCTACCCAGTAAAAGTGGAGATTACAGAAGAATTCTTCCAGAAGACTTTCTAGCAATTGAAAAATATTAACCCATTTTTACTTCCCATTTACCTCTTCTGCAGCTTGCTTAGAACTGAGATCAGCTTCATCTTTGTTAGCAGAAGGGGCCTGAGATCTACAGGCAAGCTGATACTGGAACTTCTTTAAAGTCTGTGCGTAATCTCCCATTGAACGATTGTAGTTCCAGAAAGTAGGGCTGTTAGAAGGAGAGGTAGAATCTGGACTTCCTAATATGATAAAAGAGTTCAGTCAGTTGCGGTAACTTTCGCATCTAGTGTTAACCCACGAACACTGGGTGTCCAGATTCCTAGGCAGTAGCAGTGAAGGAATCAGAAGACCCCCTGCGCCCCATCACATCGTCTTCTTCAGAGACCATGGGTTCTTTGTGTTAAAAATTAAAGGGAGTATTTTCTGAGCAGTACCAACATAAGAACCATAAGAATTGCAAGTGGTTGAAAGTGTGTTTATTTCCGCTGTAAGATCAAACTTGTTTCAGATGGGCATGGTGATGCCTGTCATTGCAGCTCCCTGAGGATCAAGCAGGAGGATCACAATTTTGGGGTCAGCTCCAGCAAGAGCAAAGTAAAAAGGACTGGGGATGTGGTTCAGCGGTAGAGCACTTGCTCAGCACGTGAGGCCCTGGGTTCAGTTCAGAGACTAACACACACACACACACACACACACACACACACACACACACGTTTCATTCATTCCCTGAAACTTTGACTTTTTAGAAAGGACTTCTGAATGGAGTAACAACAGCTTCTGATTAATAAATTATTCTACAGGCTATGTCCCTGCACTAATTGTGTTTTATTTACTAGTCCATAGTATTTCTTTATTGATTAAGTGACTCTGTGAGCCAGGTGTGGTGGTGCATAGATGTAATCCCACCACTCTGGGAGGAGAAGGCCGGAGGACAAGTTCAAGCCCAGCCTGAATAACTTGGCAACTCTGTGAGAGCCTGTCTCAAAATGAAAATGAAAAAAGGGCTGGGGATGTAGCTCAGTGAGAATGTCCTGGGTTTAATCCCCAGTAAAAACAAAAACAAACAAAAAAGACTACCCTTTGATCATATTTACACATTTACTTTTAGGAAATGTAAAAAATTAGCATGCAGCAACTTCCTTCTACAGAGGCCTCTGCCAGAGTACTTATCACATGTGAGGAGTACACTTTTGGTCATCTTCCTAAAGTGAATCTGAGCTCCCTGAGGGCATAGATTATTTTTTCTATTTACTCAGGCAGTTCCTGAGTAAATAAGCAAGTTTTCAATGACAATTACAATTGGGCTTATTTTTCCAGGGTTTCACAGACACCAGGAATATCAATTGTTGGTTTATATCCACATATTAAAAAAATCATTAAAAAAAAATCATACTTAGAACCCATTTTCTGGTTTTTAACCTTAGTAAGAGTCCTAGAAGAAGTGACTATATAAAACTGGTTTTTTTTGTGATGTCTGTAGCCATACAGGATGAGAAATCATGAAAGGGATATGTGAGAACAATTCACCAAGACTTTGGAAGTCACCCAGTCTTGTCCTCGGGTGGATAAAGTGTTTCATGAGGGCATAAAAATATAGTTATCTACAATAAAGAAATTCCCACATTATGTGAAGCTAAATTTCCAAGTAGGACTTCTGATAAAACTGACTTTAGAAATTAATTAAGAGCAAGAAAAGTGGTTGTAAACCATCACAAATGATTTAATACATAGGCAATAAAATAGGAAGGTAAGAAACATGGTCATAATACAGCAGTTTTCCTATTTTGATTATTAGGTTAAAGGCAATTAATCTTTATGTGAAAAAAACTTGAACTTAGAGCTGGGGATATAGCTCAGTGGCACAGCACCTGCCTGGCAAGTACAAGGTCTGAGTTCGATTCCTGGTACAAAAAAAAAAAAACCTTAAGAAAAATTAGAAGCAGGAAGTTTAACATTGGTTGCACGTTAGCTGAAGTGAACACTTTAGGTAGAATACACAGTGACAAAATAGGGGCTTCCGGTAATGATCACCAGCACTAACAGTATCTCCAAAACAACACAAGACGTACAGGTGAAGATCCTCAAAGACCTAAGAGCCAACGCATAAAGAGATTTGTAAATCTAGCAACAATCTAAAAATGTGTTTTAAACAAACCCATTACTTAAATGAATGAGTGAGGGACCTTGTAAAAAAGCAAGGTACGAAGAGCCAGTGGCTAAAAATGAAGCAGGAACTAAAAATCAAGGGAACATCAATTAGGGAACGGATGGGGTGGCTACTCTAGACAGCTCTGCCGGCCTTAACAAATCTACCAACTTGGCTTACAGTGCTCAAGAGGGAGCAAGAGATACGGATTTGGGCCAGAAAGACATAGAGCTGGACTGAGGTCTTTATCCTAACTGTACTATTCCCAGCATCAGGCACAGGGTCATATCCTCAGTAGACGAAAAAAAAAGTACCTGTCACTGGTACCAAGGGAGAAAAGAAGCTTACCTTAAGTTGTTGAGATTTTTAAAAACACCCCCGAGGGCCGGGGATATAGCTCAGTGGTACAGCACCTGCCTGGCAAGTACAAGGTCCTGAGTTGAATTCCTGGGTCCAAAAAACCCCTCAAAACAAACAAAAAACCCCACACAAAACCCTGAGATTTTATTTTATAAATTTTCTCTCTCCTGAGTTTTTTTTTGAGACAGGGTTTCACTACGTAGCTCAGGCTGGCCCTAAACTCAAGGTGATTCTCCTGCCTCAGCCTCTCGAGTGCTGGAACTACAGGTATGTGCCACCACACCCAGCTCCTCTGAGATTTTCAAAGTATAAATTCAGCTTCAATGCGTTCAGAATACCCATTTACACTGTCTGTGAGGCCGGGATTCTCCAAAGTGACTTAACTTAGCTCAAGGTTAACAATACTCTTTGGCACCTGGCAGAGGCAAATATAAAACAGGTGGTAAGAGACAGACAAAGCACTGATAAGGCTCTACCAAAAATGACTGAAAATGAAAGCCTTGTTTCCAAAACAAACAAAAACCACATAGTCACTAGGACACAAGCCTCCAAGCATGATGGTCAACAAGACAACCGTGTCAATATTTAACCTCCAAGAACTTTAGGTAACCGAAATGTTGGGCAGACTTTTTAAAAAAAAGTCTATTTAAGTCGGGCGTGGTGGCACACGCCTGTAATCCAAGCACTCGGGAGGCTGAGGCAGGAGGATTGTTGCGAGTTTTAGACCAGCCTGGAGTATAAAGTGAGCTCAAGGCCAGCCTGATTTGCACAGTGAGACCCTGTCTCAAAAAAAAAAAAAAAAAAAAAAAAAAAGGACCAGGGGCTGGGGATTTAGCTGAGCAGCAAAGTGCCTACCTGGCAAGCGCAAGGTTGCAAGTTCGATTCCTGGTACTGGAAAACAAAACAAAACAAAACAAAGGACCAAAAAAAAAAAAAGTCTATTTAAAATGAGTAATATAACAGCGCCTGCCTGGCAAGCACAAGGTCGTGAGTTCGATTTCCAGTACAGGAAAAAAACCAAAAAAAATAAAAAATAAAAAATAAAATGACTAACATAGCCGGGCGTGGTGGCACATGCCTATAATCCCAGCACTTGGAGGCTGAGGCAGAAGGATCACTACGAGTTTGAGGCCAGCCTGAGCTACAAAGTGAGTTCAAGGCCAGCCTGAACTGCACAGTGAAACCCTGTCTCAAAAAAAAGACTAGCATAGAAAAAAAAAAGAAAATGAACAAGATACTATACAAAAATTAGGAATATTTGAAAATAATCAAATAACACTGAAAAATGAAGAAAAAGTGGCTGAATTCAGTGTGCTAAACAACAGTTTGGACAAGGCTAGAGCTGCTCATGGGCCCAAAGTGTCTAAAACTGAGGGGTAAAATAGTCGGGTATTCTTTAGACAATAGCAAACTATTTAATGTAGAAGACAGGAAAGTATCCATCTGACAACTATCACTGCATTCACCCACTCAGAGACACGCACAGATGGATGCAACCGTCACTGTGAGAAGGCTACTGGGAAAGGGGACATAAAGAAGAGCTTTTGGCCAGGTGTGGTGGTGCTCGCCTATAACCCAGCACTTGGGAGGCTGAGACAGGAGGATCATTGTGAGTTGGAGGCCAGCCTGGGCTACAAAGTGAGCTCAACGTCAGCCTGACTGCGTAGCGAGACCCTGTCTCAAAAAGACAAAAAAAAAAAACAAGAATAGCTTTTGTGAAGGGATTGGCTCAACATCACCTTGACCAAGTGATCTAATTCTTTTTTTTGTCTTTTTGAGACAGGGTCTCGCTATGCAGTTTAGGCTGACCTTGAACTCACTATGTAGCTCAGGCTGGCCTCGAACCCATGGTAATCCTCCTGCCTCAGTCAACCGAGTGCTGGAATTATAGGTGTGTGCCATCACGCCTGGCCCCCAAGTCATCTAATTTTATGTCATCACTAAGGAGACAAAACAGTAGTACGCATGTGACACATGATACACTAAAAGCTCTGGCTCCTTTCCTGTGAGACACAGAGCTGAACTATGGAGGCCACAAATGAATGCTGGTGGCCGTGGGCCCCTACGGATAGTCCCAGCCAAGCTGCTTAGACTGCTGAAGATGGGCTTGTTATGGGCTGTGCCATGGGCATGGTGGCTGGGGTGCTCTTTGGCACCTTTTCCTGCCTCAGGATCGGACCGTGGGGTCGAGGGCTGATGGGTGGCAGGGGGAAAATTATGATGCACGGTGGCGGCACCTTTGGCACATTTGTGGCCATCAGAATGGGCATACGACGCTAACCAGGGCAGCGGCTGCCCGCTACATCTACACCTTCCCATCTATCCTAGCCGCTATGCTATAATACAAGTCCTTCTTCTCAAATAAAAAAAAAAAAGATACACTAGAAGACATGTGCCATCTCCTGTGTTATATCCTTCCAGAAAATACTTAACCTAAATATATAAGAAAATGATCAGACAAATCCACATTTGCAAAATAGGCTGACTTCTTCAAAATGTTAATGTCGTAAGAGAAAGAGAACAACACACAAATGTTCTAAAGACAAAAGAAACACAACTAAATGTAGTATGTGCTTCTTCACAGAGGCCTGCATCAGTAAAAGAAGAGAGTTATGAAGTCATTATTGGGTCAATTCAATTAATGTGTCTATGAGTAATGTACTTCAAGGGTGCCAATCACGTTGTAGTTGCAAAGAGAACGTTGTTGCTCTTAGGAGACCCATGTGAAATACTGAGGAATGAAGTACCTGGAGGCTTGAAGTTTTTCTTTTTTGGTCTTTACTTTTAGTATTTTCTTATCTTTTTTTGGTATTTTTCTTTTTTCTTTTCTTTTGCTTCTTGGGAATTGAACTTAGGGCCTTGCACCTGCTGAGCTACATCCCTGGTCCTTGAAGCTTATTTTCAAATGATTTAGCAAAAACACTTCCGTGTGTGTGTGTGTGTGTGTGTGTGTGTGTGTGTGTGTATGTGTGTACGTACATATGAATGAATATGAGTGCCTGGTTCTTCACTCCTGGAGGAAGGAGTTACAGACATAGAGATGGGGAGGCTGGAATAAACCTTGTGTAGCTAGACTGGAATTGGGACTACATCCCAGCTGTATGCTGTGAGGACCTGGAGTAATGCTCCCTCAGGGTCTTAGTTACTTTTTCACGCTGCTCAGATAAAATACCTAAGACCCACAAGTTAAAAGGGAAAGGTTTAGCTGGATGTGGTGGCACATGCCTGTAATCCCAGCACTTGGGAGGCTGAGACAGGAGGATCACTGCAAGTCCAAGACCAGCCTGGGTTACAAAGGGAGCCCAAGTCCAGCTTGAACCGCATAGCGAGATCCTGGCTCAAAAAGACAAAAAAAAAAAAAGGTAAGATTTATTTAGCTCAGTTTGTACAGGGTTCAGTCCATAGTCAGCTGGCTCCAAGGCAGGTGGTATGATAGAGGGGCATCACAGAGAAGAAATAATTCATGGCAGGTAGAAGATAGCAAAGCAAGCAAGGAACAAAACAAGCCTCTTTTTGTCCCTTATATCGTAGCCACGCTATTGGAACTAGGGTAGTGCCAAACCAATCAGTGGACTGATTTAGTAATCAATCACCCTTAATCCTAGCACCCTTAGTCCTGGCACTGTACCATGAATCAATCACACACTCTAGATCCAGCCACCTACGCAAAAGTCTCACCTATGATCACATGAGGCTTTGCGGGGGACAAGCCATAATACCCAGTAACAACAGCATACTCAGAGCTCAGATGTTAATTTTCTTTTTCTTTTTTAAAGACAAGGCTCTCTATGTAGTTCAGACTGGCCTTGAACTCACTTTGTAGCCCAGGCTGGCCTTGAACTTATGGCAATCCTCTTGCCTCAGCCTCCCAAGTGTTGGGATTACAGGCAGGTGCCAGCACACCCAGCAAGATACTAATTTCTAATTTCTAAATAGCATCTCACTAAAAGGAACAGGGATCCTGGGAGAAAGAGATGACTCCAGCCAGCCAGGGAATGCTCAGGAACCTGGAATATTGTGAGGTGCTACAAACTGTGTGTGTGTGTGTGGGGGGGGTGACTGTGCTCAAGGAATGATAGGGTCATGTCACAAATAACATAGCAGTCAGCTTAAAGGGGGTGCTACTAGCCAAATCTCAGGCATGTAACATCAAAATAAATCACATGACTGGGGGAAAGAACAAGTTTGTTTTAGAACACCAAGTTCTAAGTTCTTTACACTTTAAAAAAGCATAAAAGGTGGTTACATAACGATGTGAATGTATTTATTTATCACTGAGTTATACCCTTAAAAAAGGTTAGAGGGGCAAATCTTATGTAAATACCACCACAACACAGTAATAATTAATTTTCTCTCTCTGTCTCTCTCTTTGGGTTTTTTTGAGGCAGGGTCTTGCTATATAGTCCAGGGTGGTCTTGAACTCACTATGTAGCTCAGACTACACTCGAACTTGCAGTGATTCTCCTGCCTAAGCCTCCCAAGTGCTGGGATTATAGGTGTGCACCAACATGCCCAGCTACATTTTTCAAAATAATCTTAAAAGGATGTTAGAAGTACTAGAGTCAAAAATTTGACGAGGAACAAAACATGTACTTATACAGTCTGAGAGTAGATTCCCACAAAATGCTTATTACTTACAAATTAATTTGTATAATATACACAATTACCTAAAACCTAAGGGCTTAGTAAGGTTAAAAGTATAGGGATGGGCCAGAGTTGGTGGCACATCCTATAATCCCAGCACTAGGGAGGCTGAGACAGAAGGATTGCAAGTATGAACCCAATTTGGGCAATTCAGTGAAACCGTGCCTCTAAATAAAAAAATAAAATAGGTGGGGGATTTAGCTCAGTGGTAGAGAATATCTGGGTTTGATCCCCAAATCCAGTGCCACCAAAGAAGAAAAAAAGATATAGGGATGGACACAGACACACTAACCAAAAGATGTTAGTATAGCTACATTAATATCAGACAAAACAGACGTGAGGCAAAAAGAGATAAAAGATAATTTTCCAGAATGATACAACTATTCTGAACTTATATGCATCTAACAATCTTACATGTATTCAGCAATTTGATAGACTTATGAGAAAATATTTAATGAAAGACCATCAGGTTAAGAGTGGGGGAACGTATCTACAATCTCAGCACTCAGGAGGCTCCTGAGTTTGAGGCCAGTCTGGACTACACAGTGAGTTCAAGGCCAGCCTGAACTAGGTAGAACCTGTCTCAAAAAAAAAGAATCAGCAGGAGCTTTTGATTAATTTTCTTAATAAATGGTAGATCAAGCAGACTAAAATTAGAAAGATAAAAGAATTTAAGAATGTCAGTTATTAGTCATCAAAGAATCTTAACTCAATAAACAACAGAGAGACCAAAACTTAGGAGGTGTGTTCTTTCCAATATACCAAAAACTACTTTCAAAAAAGTGACCACACAGCAAGCCTAAAAGTAAGTCTTCAAACAGGCAACCAGCCAGCCAGCCAGCCAAGCAACCAAGCAACATTCGCTATGTTTGACAGAAAGAAAGAGAAGAAAAACTCAGATACACATCAGAATCTCTAAACACAGGACAATTAACTTTGGGGAAAATAAAGCTAACTAGGTCTCTTCAGCCTTGAAAACTAAACAACACCAATAACACTTCCCAACAGTAATACATCTAAACAGCTTCTATGGGCCAAACAAAAAAAATTATGACAGAAAATATTGGAAAATCACAGATATTGTGTTACATTTTTTTTTTTTTTTTTTTTTTGGTTTTTCTCCGGTACCGGGAACCGAACTCACGACCTTGCGCTTGCCAGGCAGGCGCTTTTTGCCGCTGAGCTAAATCCCCAGCCCCTGTGTTACATTTTAATTTGCAGTAGACTTGAAATATTTCAAAATTTAAAAAAGAAAAAATGTGCATAAAATAACAAGATACTATTGATTTGTTGTTTTGACATTTGCGGCACTTTCAGGCAGAACTGAATTAAAAATCTTTAGAGAGTTCAATGAACACAAAGAGCCATGGTCCAATAACTTGGTTTCCTCAGCAGGGCCTAGCTTTAGCACCTAAAGTGCTTTCTGTGACATTTCCTGAGGGAAAAAATCATTACTTGGTTCAATAACCTAATTTGGCTTCAAATAATTGACTTTGTGATAATCAAATTCACCCCAAACAGATTACAATTTCTAACACTGTTTCCCATGGCAAACTACGGGTTTTAAGAAAATACTAAGACAAATTAAAACGCCTGAAGAAGAGCAGGGAAAATACTGCTTTTCTCCTTACCCTGTCATACACACCAGACTCCCAAAAGACCACCCGAAAAGACAGCTATCACCTGAATAAGCTTTGTTACACGCCACTTCAAACACATTTTACAACCTCAACTTTAAAGAGGAATTGTAACTTACATTACAGGAAAAGGCTTTTAATCTTACTGTAGATGAAAGGATCAGGACTTTTCAGTTAGTTCAGCCATATTTGACTTCTTCAACTTGATAGAGTTAATTGTAACTGCTGAACTTGTATTACCTACAAGGTAACACAAAATGTGTTTGAAGGGCTGAGGATATAGCTCAGCGGCACAAGCACCAGCCTGGCAAGTGCAAGGTCCTGAGTTTGATTCCCAGTACCAAAAACAAAAACAAAATGTATTTGCCTCCTAAAATATATTGGTAAAAGGGACATACAAATTTACGCACAAGAATCAAAATAATGAAAATGACAGCTTAAGAATGATGTGAGGTGTATTAAAGATAAAGAAGATATGTGTACCCAGATTAACTCTGTGCTGTTTCTCTTCTTCACTTCTGAGAAAAGTGTCCAGAGTGCGCAGGTCCGTCATGTAGTCCTCCTTATCAGTAGGTGAGTTGTAGACGCTGGGTGAAGAACGGTAGCGGGATCTCAATCCACTGCTCTCCACTGGGCCAACCGTGGCAGGGTACGGAGAAGGGGGAGAGGAGCTAAAGCTTGCCAACTACACAAAATAAAAGGACTTGATTTTAGTTTTCTTTAATTGAATTTTGTATCTGACTTTTTGAATTTTAAAAAGTTATATGCCTACTACAACGGTCAAAATCTAAGAACACCTACAACACCAAATGCTGGCGGGGTTGCAGAATGATGGGAACTCTTACTCGCTCCTGGCGGGAATGCCAAGTGGCACAGCACTTTGCAACAGTTGCACGGTTCCTTACAAAGTGAAACCTCTCACCATTCCTTCTAGCAGAGGTGCTCTTTGTTATTTACCCAAAGGGTGCGGAAAACTTATGTCCACACAAAAAATTGCACATGGATGTTTATAATAGCTTTATTCCTAGTTTCCAAAACTTGAAACCAAGATGTCCTTCGAAGGTAACAGGATTTAAAAAAAAACAAAACTGTGCTATAGTTAGACAATGGAGTGTTATTCAGTGCTAAAAAGAAACATGCTATCAAGCCAGGAAGAAGCCAATTCGAAATGCTACACATAGCTCCAAGTGTATGACATTATGAATAAGATAAAAATATGGAGGAGTTAAAAAAACAGTTGACTACAAGGAACTTGGAGGGAAAGTGGGACAAAAAAGGAAGCACAGGGAACGTTTTCCATGTATAATGCTGTAATGGTGCACACACGTTGTTACACATCTGTTTAGGCTCACAGTACATACACCAGAGTGAACTCTACTGAACTGTGGACTTTGGGGGATAATGATGTGTCAATATAGGTTCATCAGTTACAATAAAAGTGCCACCCTAATGGGATAAACTGATAATAGAGGTGACAATGTATGCGTGTGTGGATCAGGGGATTACAGGAAATCTCTGTATTTTCCTCTCAGTGTTGCTGAGAACATAAAACTGAACTAGCTTAGCACAGTGGTAAATACGTGCTTATAATCCCAGAATTTGGGAGGACAAGGCAGGAGGATAATGAGTTTTAGGCCAGCTTAGGATATACAGTGACACCTTGTCTCAAAAAGCCAAAACAAAAACAAAAACAAAAACAAAAACAAAAACACTCCAGTGCTCTAAAAAATAGTCTAAATCCCAGCACTTGGGAGGTTGAGGCAGGAGGATCACCTTAAGTTCAAGGCCAGCCTGAACTACATAGTGAAATGCTGTCTCAAAAAAACCAATAAATAAATTTTAAAAGAAAGGTAAGGACAGACACACAACAATGAAAGCATGTCGAAATTTAAATGTATAAACTCTGCTTTCTTAAGCGTAAAAGCCAAAGCAAAACCCCATACTACCATGGGATTTGAAATGAAGGCTTCCACTCATCCATGGAAAGTATCCATGGTCCAGTGTCAAACTATATGGCAATCCAGGCTTTCCCTGGATAAAAACCAGCATGATAAAGAGGATTATAATTCTCTAAACGTAAACACAGGTTTCACATAGAGTAGCAAAAAGGGAAAAATATGAGTTAAGGAAACTGAAGTAAAAAAGTATGGCTTTCTCATCAATAAAATGAGAATTTTTTTTTTCTTTTTGACAGGGTCTCTCACTATGTAGCTCAGGCTGGCCTCAAGCTCACAGCAATCCTTCTGCTGCAATTATAGGCGTGAGCCACCACACAGCAATAAAACAAAAAGTTCCAACTCACTTGATGATTTTTCAATGGAGTACCTCTCAATTTTAAAAAAGTGTGACTGGCTAAGAGAAAAGAGTCGTTACCTTATTATAACCACCGACTGGTGAGTAGGTCACTCCGGGGCTGTACGAACTACTGCTGCCTGAGGACATGCTTTGCAGTTGAGGGCTGTAGCCAGCTATACAGCTGGTGGTGAACTTGGGACTGGCACTGGGTGAGCGAGATGGGCTGTAGCTCAACACACTCTGCCCCTGAATTGAAGGGGAAGGTGGAGAGGGAGGGATTTGTGTGGCTGTTAGCTCACGTGGAGGAGTAGTCTGTACAACTAGAAGGGAAAGAAAAAAGAAAATAAATATCTACACACACATACATGTTTAAACAAATCTTCATGAAATCCGAGTTAAGGAACCGTCTTTTTTTATTTTTGTACTGGAAACTGAAGCTAGGACCTCTGCACCAGCTGTATCCTCCCTCAGCCCCTTTCTGAGACAGGGTCTGCAGACACTGACTTGCCCACACTGACTTGAACTTGCAATCCACCTGTCTCAACCTACCAGAGAGCAGGCGCCACCACACTCAGCTGCTACTGTTTTTTTTCCTCAGGAAAAAAACAAAGTAACAGAAGGACTTGATTTTTAAATTAATATATTACTAAAGGACAACAATTAGTCATTTACCATTTCCACAGAGTCCAAAACAAAAAACTGGCTTCAATCCAGCAAGAGACAGTCATTTAATTTTAAGGAACCAACGGAATAGACTTCCGTTAGGTGGCTGAATGTTGGTTTCATTCAGTTTATACAATGAGAATGATAACCACTGGTCTTAGGAACATTTACTGTCAATCTGTTCAATATATGTCAACTAGATAGTCTTAGAAATCCCTTCCAGCTGGGTGTGGTGGTGCACGCCTGTAATCCCAGCACTTGGGAGGCTGAGGCAGGAGGATCGTTGCAAGTTCGAGACCAGCCTGGGCTACAAAGTGAGCTCAAGGCCAGCCTGAACTGCATAGTGAGACCCTATCTCAAAAAGACAAAAAAAAAAAGAAATCCCTTCCAGCTCTGAGTCTATGAAAGGGGAAAATTAAATTTAAAAATGTTTGTTGCCAACCTCCTTAGCTCCGCAAGAGAACAGAACATAAAACACTTACCAGCTGTTTTCAACCCTAGAAGTGTCTGCTGTCCAGGGCTGACAACGAGACTTGTGGGTGCCACAGTGTATTTGAAATATCTCCAAAAATCAAACAAGGCATTAAGGCTGAAGAGGGATGCAAGAGCAAGCTCTGGAAGAGAATATCGATTTATTTTAAAAAAGGTGGTGGTGGGGCATGTATTGGTGCAGAAACAAAACTCCTCCATACTTAGCAAATTAAGAAAATTTAAACTACCTTCTTATTCCCCCTAACAGCTAACATTTAATAAATACGTATTAGTTGTAGGGCATTTACTGGTAAGTTACAAACTCTCACTAACCCTTACCACCTTATTTTCACCTTTATTTTAATAATGAATCAACAGTCACGGAGAAGCCAAGTGACATTATTTTGGAACTGGGGATGGGGCACTGAGCTCCCAATCCACCCCCCTTTAAAATAAGAGCCTCATTAAATTGCTAAGTTGCCCAGGTGAGGCTGGAACTTGCAATCCACCTGACTCAGCCTCCCAGAGTGCTAGGCTTATAGGTGTGCATCACATCTGGCTTTAAATGACTTTTATGGGTACACAGCTAGTGAGCAACATGATTCTGACTCAGTCTGCAGATTCTAAATCCCGCGTTTTTCCAAGTCCCTCCCACTTGCCACACTAGCTCCCACAATAGATCCTGCATTCATGTGTACAGATTATGAAATCTAACATCCTTAAGAATTTTCCATACCCAATGCCAGGCGTTGTGGCGCACGCCTGTAATCCCAGCACTCGGGAGGCTGAAGTAGGAGGATTGATGTGAGTTTGAGACCAGCCTGGGCTACAAAGTGAGCTCAAGGCCAGCCTGTACTGCAATAGAGAGACCCTGTCTCAAAAAAGACAAAAAGAAAAGAATTTTCCATACCTAAGGATTATGGTTGAGGAGACAGAGAAGTGGAAGGAATGAGGAAATGGAGGAAGGCACCTATGAAGTAGAAATCTGGGCTGATTTTGAAAGGTGAAAACATGGAGATAGCACTTGAAGAGCGTAACAAATATAAATCTTATTACCCCCACTTTTTTTTGTCTTTTTGAGACAGGGTCTCGCTATGCAGTTCTGGTTGGCCTTGAATTCACTTTGAAGCCCAGGCTGGTTTTGAACTTGCAAAGATCCTCCTGTCTTAGCTTCCTGAGTGCTGAGATTACAAGCATGCGCCACCACGCCCAGCTTATCCTCACATTTTATCTGGCTTCACAGAACTCATGATTATCTGTAATTGTATTTTTAATGCTCTCCCAGAATGTTTCTTCCACAAGAGGGTTTTCATTTGTTCCCTTCCTGCTGAACTCCCCGACTGGGAACATAGCAGGTCCTCTGCATTTGTTCAATGAAGGGATGAATACCAACCTGAATTAAACCTGCCAGCAAATTTTTCATTGGTAATAAATCTAAATTTTAGTAGATTACTTACCAATATACCAGACGGGCCAGTATGTCACATTATAATATGAACTAATCAATTTTCCAGTCCTAAAAAAACAAGAAAGGCTTTTCAATTAACTTAAAAAAAAAACCAAAAATTAAAACTAAAAATCAAAACACACAAAGTTCTAAGCCAGCCACTGGCTGCTTAGACTTTCACCCTGTTGAGTGATCAACTTACATTTCAGTATATATCATTCCAGCCATAGATACATTTAGGAGGCCCCAGGCTAAAACCACTTTTCTCGCTTCAGTTTCTTTTCTCATCTTGATGGTTCTGTCAATAAGGGAATTACTAGGGCTCGCCTCGCCCTGCATCTATTCAAAAGAAAAAGCACAAGGATTAATCAAAAGGAACTACTCCATTTAAGAAACCAAAAAAGGTTCTCTTTATAAAGAAAAACTGCATGTATCTTTAAAATGTCTTATCAGTTTTCCCCTCCCATTTCATATTAGTATATGAAAAGGACACAAAGTTATACTTCTCAGAGATCCAGCCAGTTATTTCAAGCAGTTTAGTACTAACAATAAATCAAATTGCCGTATTTTGTAATTGAAGGACTGGTTTTCATCTGCAGATTCTCCACGTTTTGTCTTTGGAGTATGTCGTAAGGCCCAGGAAGAGCGTTAACGTATGAAACTCAAAAATATCATTTTGCCGGGAGTGGTGGCACACACCTGCAATCCCAGCACTTGCGAGGCTGAGGCAGGAGGATCGCTGCGAGTTTGAGACCAGCCTGGGCTACACAGTGAGCTCGAGGCCAGCCTGAACTGCATAGCGAGACCCTGTCTCAATAAGACCAAAAAAAAACCCCCACAAAAAAACCATCATTTTACAAGTATTTACTACATCCTGTAAACCATAAAGGCCATTCTCGGACATCCCCACGCAGAAGCCATGACTGCGTCTGCCCCAGCCAGGCAGCTCCGCTTTGTGTGTTGACGGGTAAAGACAGGCGGGCACCCACGGTGTGAAGGAACCGGAGTCACTGGGGAAAGCGCGTTCCGTCTGAGACGGAACATTGGGATCTGTATTTTCTGTTGTGCCCCCAGACCTAACTGTTACAGACCAATGTGAAACAGGCTACCCGGAGCGGCGGCCCAGAGCAGGGGCGTCCCCGGGCCGCCGCCCAGCCCAAGTCCCGAGGGCTTCCCTCCTGGGCGCCTCGAGACAAATTTTGTCACCCTCCCTGCTTTCCACCACAAGTGACGGCACATGAGCCACGTTCTCCTTTGGCTGAACCACGAGCAGATCACTAAGCGCGGAACTCTCAAAGCCCGCGTGGAACTCGTGCCCAGGAAGCACAAAAACGTCCCCCCCAAACCCACCGTGATCTTCGGCCGGAAGAGGTAGGCTCCCGCCACTGTCTACTGCACATGCGCGAAGCCTAGCGCTAAGGCAGAGTCTCGGGCTGGCGGGTCCACAGTTACCGGAAGAACTGGGCCATCTCCTCTCGCGAGAATGAGAAGGCGCAGAGGGGCGGGGCTAGGAGCGTTACTAAGGAAACAGCTTTCCGATTTGTGCCGCCCCCCCCCCCCCGCCCACGGGTGCCGGGAGAAACCTGAGCCTAAAAATTTGCGCAAGGTTTTAGCCCCCAGTAAAAAAATATTAAAAATAAGAAACTGAATGTTGTTTATATTAACATTCAGTTTATAATTTTAGCTTCCTTAGGGTGCTTATGGGCTCACATTTGTATGCAGATGTTAGCGGGGTGGTTGACTTTGCAGCGTGCATGGCAATGTGTTCAGACATCAGCAATGACAAAGTGTTCCTTGCTCTTGTTAAAATATGTATTTCCGTCCAATTGTTTTGATCCGGTGTAAATTATTTTTCTTTTTTTCTTTTTGAGACAGGTCCTCGCTATGTAGTTCAGACTCATTTTGAACTCACTATGTAGCCCAGGCTGGCCTTGAACTCACTGCGATCCGCCTGCCTCAGCCTCCCGAGTGCTGGGATTACAGGTTTAGGCCTCCACGCCCAGCTCCTAGCATAAATTCTTAAATATCATGGGATGAGGGTGCGGCAGTAAGAAGAAAAAAAAAATAACACCGATTTATTCAAACCAATTTCTTTTATTGAAGTAGTTAGTAGTTTTAACATTAGAAACAAAACTTTTTCCTTGTGAATACTCTGAACTTCTTTTTAACCTCTGTAGTGGGGATTGAACCCAAGGCCTTCCCACTGAGCTACATCCCCAGTCCTTTTAAATTTTATTTTGGATAGCGTCTCAGGAAGGTGCCCAGGCTGTAGTCAAACTCAAAAACTCCTCCTGCTTCAGTTTCCCAGAGTGTGTGCTACCTCACCATGCCCAGGAGAACTTCCAGTCATTATAGATAGCTAAGTTATGTAGAAATACTGCAGTCAGTGTGACAGGGCTAGGCCCTGGAAAGGTCAATGCAGAAGTCAATTGTGGCTGGAGGTGCATTTATTGAAGGACAGTGTTCAAGAAAAGAGGAAGGACTACCCCCATATACTTTCCCTAGGAAGGATAGGCAGTGATTGATACTTTATTTTTATTTTATTTTTTTTTTTTACTTTTTATTTTTGTCTTTTTGAGACAGGGTCTCACTGTGCAGTTCAGGCTGGCCTTGAGTTCACTTTGTAGCCCAGGCTGATCTCAGACTTGCAAAGATCCTCCTGCCTCAGCCTCCCAAGTGCTGGGATTACAGGCATGCTCCACCACTCCTGGCTTGAAGGACAAGGTGATTGATGTCTATTGATACTCTAAATAGGTATCAATCACCTTGTCCTTGTCCATTCCATGTGCTCGTGCTATGTGATTTGCCCCCCAGTTGGATCCCCATGTAATCAGTATTACCTAAGCGACTGTACTTGTAATCTTATTGGTTCACCATAGTTATGTCCCACCTCACACTCTCCTTGTGACTTCCTGTTGGATCAAGATTACCTGAGCAGCTATACTTGTGATCTTATTAGTTGGCTATAGTTTTGTCTTACATTGTAGCTTTGCTCAATAAGACACCCTTGAGATGTGGGGTTGGTGGGCAACCCACTTTCTGAGGCCACTTCTGTTCCTCTTAGAAGCTTTTCTTTCTTTTAGTAAGTTCTGCCTACTTTTAACCTCTGTTGTTCCTAGAATTCATTCCTCAATTTTAGAGATCATGAATTTGGCATTTTGGACAGGTAGCAGGTTGGGAATTTCTTTCCCCTGTATCACATCTTTGAGGAAAATGTTTATCAGGGAGTTGAATTTGTTTTTATTTAACAAATGTAGCAGTGTGCCACTGAGGCGGGCAGAGAATGTAGATCTGGTTGCATCCTTTGAGTTTCCTGGAGTTAGTGACAGTATCCTGAGGTAGAGAAGGCCAATAGCCACCCCTCCAGCCTGAGGACTCATTCCAACTATGGAGAAGTGTTCCCCACAGTAAATTAAGTCATTTCACAGTAAACCAATGGATTGCTGCATCACCTATGTCTAATGACTCTTTTATTTCCCCTAATTTGAGCCTGAGGATAAATAGGAGAAAATGAAATTTCACTGTAATATTGTGTACATAAATCTGCAGGTATGGTATGCTCTTAAAGATGTAACAGATCAAGTGAGGTTTTTTATCAGTTTTGTATTGCCTTAACAGCCATGTTGTCAGGCTTTAGTTGTAGATTCAGAGATGGACTGTTGAGTCTATCTATATAATTCTATATAAATTTGGGGGAAAAATCATTTCATAATTAAATTGTGATTAGGGCTTGTCTGGGAGCCGGCTATGGCATATGAAAACATAACTCCCCTGTGCCTCCGGTCACAGCTGAGGCCTCAGCATCCCCTGGTGCTGTACACCCCAGGGCAAGATTACATCAACTGAAGACATCCTGATTCCTTGAGAACGGAGTAGTAATTAAAAAAAGAGTTTCACCTTGGAGAAAGGACAAACTCTACTAACCTGCCGTCTCTCCCCACCATCCACATCTGCAAAAGATCCTCATTAGCATAAAATCGCCAACGCCCTCTGAGTCACGGGATAGTCCCCTAATCCCCTCCTTCAATGTAAATGTACTTAATAAATGCCAGGGTTCTAGCTCCTCGTGGCCTTACATTCCTTGTGAACAACTGGTCATCCCGGATCCCCTTGCACTGTCATTTTGTCTCCCTCTTTCTTTTTGGCTCTGTGCACTATAACACCTTACAGGAGACTGGGGTCTACTGCAGGGGTCCCTGATAATGGACTAACTTGAAAATTGTTCAAACAGGGGCTGGGGATATAGCTCAGTGGCATAAGCGCCTGCCTGACAAGCGCAAGGTCGTGAGTTTGATCCCGGGTACCGCAAAAACAAAAACAAAAACAAAAAAAAAAAGGAAAAAAAAAGAAAATTGTTCAAACAAAATGAAAGGGTTCAATTCAATGTAAAAATCAAAATCAAAATCAAAATGCCAGTTTCTTACCTCCCCCATATCTGACTCCTTCCTAAGAAGCAATTGTATACATTTGTTGTAATTCATCAGCAGGCCCATTGTCATGCTCTATATCCAGATGTCCCCTGAAAGTTTCATGCGTTCGTTGGTGGGGCTTTGGGGAGGTGATTAGGTCATGGGGGTGTGGTACTCAGCCCTGTATTAGTCCACTGATTTCTACAGCTGGGTGATGCCTGGTGGGAGAAGGTGGGTCACTGTGGGCATGGCCTGGAAGGGT